GTCGCGACAATATCGCCCATGGATACAAGAATTCAGAGTCAAGAATGGAGCCTGCTCATTTGTACGGAAGGGACCCTGGTTACGATATGGATGAAGAGAAAGATTCACATATGGAAGACGAGTTTGATGACGTTGACTCGAACGACTGGGATTTCACGGTGCCCAAGAACGAAAAGGAGAGTAGTGGATCTGATGAGTTCCATGAAGAAGGCTTTGGCAACCACTATGACGTCAAGCCTTACGACAACAAACAAGATCAAAAGTACAGGGCGGGCAGACTTAACGGGGACGAGCACAATTTTAATTCTAACCAACAACAGCACCCATATGCTCCATACCCCGTTGAAGAGAAGCATCGTGACACCGATGCAGATTCGGAATTTCATTTCTAGATTGAAAAAAAAAAAAAAAAATAAAAAAGAAAGATTTAGTTGTTAAACAAGGGGGTAGCTGGCATGCCCTCTGCGGTCCCCGTAGAGTTTTATTGTGTAATAACTAACTTTCAAAATATTTCAATGACTTTTTTCTAGTGATACATGTGTGGCTACACAAGCGTAGACTAATTCTTGTGTAGGACTTGTAACAATGTTCGAAATGGATGAGCCTTGAACACCTTGCACCGACATTTTCTATTCTGCTGAAGTTTAAGTTTGGATATCTCACATTTCTACGTACATCGCAAAGCCAATTTGACAAGCTTAGAAAAAGATTGGAAGGATTTGTACCGTGGGAATGCGGGTGAGATTTTGTGCCATGAATGTCAAAAAAGAAAGAACAATAAAAGGGTGCATGACAATGTAAAATACACGATGCTCAAGATATACTTGAACGGCAACTTCATGCAGTATGTGAAAGACTTTCTGTTCACAGAGGTAAATCAAAAGAAGCAGGCACCTCTCTAACCAGTTTAGTTGTCGTAGAGGGCGTCATTGTCTTGTGCCCCACCCTTCAAGAAACAAATGCATGCGTGGTAAACTTGAATGTCATTGTGTATAGAGCTCACTAATGAAGTAATGAGACTTCAACCAACGATCATTTCAATATTGCAAATTACTTAAAGCAAGCTGAGAGAGTAACTCTCTTGAAAAGTCACATACCTTTCCCCCTTTGGAAAAGGAAATGAAAGCCGGGTAATAAGATAAAGTGACTATGCATGCAAATACAATCACCTCAAGTTTTATATCTCCAGCCATGGGTATTCGGTCTTGCGTGTTTTAGTGTGCGCTTAACGGAGTGTGTTAGAGACAAGCAGCGGATTTAATATTCTTGCCCGACACTTTAGGCTCTTTTTTATCATCCATTGACTAGAGCCATTCCATTGGTAAAGAGAGGGCTCTAGTTTCCAGTTATGAAGCAACTGCGTCCATCTTACAAGTAATACTGAGAGACTATTTCAAATAATAAAATGCTAATTGCAAATTTGTCTGTTGAGTAATGGGGAAGGGGTGTCGTTACCAAAATTTGAGTGCGGTCTTGACAACACACTCTAAACTCCCACCAACACCGTAAATGTTTCAAAGGGCAGCGTGGTGTTTTTAAAAACCAGCTATCAAGCTCCAAACAAAGACTTTGTGGCAATCACTATCTATATTGAATATGGTGGCAGTCTGTAGCAACAATCTTGTCCCATAGAGGCTATTCTTGCATGCAAAACACTGCAATATTGAATATTTTTTTACTCTGTTGAGAAGACCCGGCCGACCGAAGTATTTGATGGAAATAGTCAGCAAAGGCAATCCCTTGTCTGTCCCCTGTTTATAAGCAGTGCGACTGTTAGAACGTCAAGTTAGGATGGAAGGAAAAGCATTACTAGAGATATTCTGAAAGTGGAGAGAGCCTTTAGGTCCTACCTTTTTTTCTCTACTTTAATTGGAGCTTCACCTTTCTTTGTGTACCTTTGTATTTAAAAACAGTCAAATATAGTCCCCACTCCCAACTTTGAACAAATCAGGTGATTTGAGATACTTTTGAATCAAAGTCTTGACCCCAAAACGGCTATGCTTGTGGGACAGTAAAGGTTTTTGCAGTTGTGATTGAGTTAATACCAATACATTTTGATGATATAAAGTAGCTCAAATTTGTTGATCCACAGAGCCCAGAACCCTTGTCAACCTGCACACCAAAGGCAACTTATTGACACTATCTTTCACCAGTTGGTCACTCAAATAAAAAAAAAAAAAAAGACAGTTGGGTCACATTCCTCACTAGCTAGACACTGATCTCAAATTCAGTACGTGTTTCTCAGAACATCGTTACCAAACCACCGCTTTCTAAGCAAGTACTACAATGGGTAAAGATGTGCCGGTATTCACCGCCCAGCACGGGTTGTCTCGATTGATGACGCAGAGTTAAAGTCCCATTTCCAGGGTGATAAGTAATTCGTTGCTGGATGCAAAAAGAGGGCGTTTGGTACTCCACCTGTAGCCATAGTGCGTAAACAAAATTTTCAAGGGCTAATTGTAGTCTCTCAAACCAACAGGCGATAATAATGTAATGCACGTTCTTAGTAGCATCCGTGATATCTCGATTCGGCCATGCCAGTCTCTTTTTTGGGACATAGTATTCCCACAGACTACTTTTTTGACATCGCAAAGCAGAATTTCCTCTTTGGGAAACACTTAGTGGGTAGTTTATAAAATGACACAAAGCTCTTTTATTTTTTTTTTTTTTTCGAACCAGAAGCTAAAACGCAGCGAGTAGTGAAGGCAAGTGCATCAAGCTCTTGTTCTTCCAATTGGCTATAGTGGCCTGTATTGTAAAAAGGTTCGGAAATGGGCTCATACTTTCTAGGAGAAAGAGAGTCTCTAATTACACCCAGCATGCACAAATGAACTAACCTCAGAAAAGTTCAAAATGTCCACAGTAAATTGTAAATGATAGTGTCACTCGAGTGATATTTCAAAGTAGGGGTGATATATTCTTTTTCTGTGCCCATATGCAAGAGTTCTTGACCTTTTTTTTTTTTCTTTTTCTTTTTTGATTTGGGTTTGAATGTGGGGTCCTAACCACAGCTCCCCAGATAGGTAAAGCACGTAAAGGGCCTTTCCGCCTTCCGCAGCAGTTCCCAAAGTATATACTACAGGGAGGCAGACGGATGCTATCTTGTTGACTATCTATCCGTCCCGCATGGGCAGCATCCGCTCTGTATGTTTGCCTATCTGATCGAGTAAAGATGCAATCTGTTCATACGTTTGAAGGAATTTGCTATGAGAGAATGTGTGTTCTGTTATTACTATTTTGGGATTCAAAGTGGGGCAATACACAAAAAATCAGAAGCTGTGGCGCTACCTTCTAACATACTACTTGTACTATGGCCATGCGGAGTAGCTTCACCAAAACAATAGAAATTTTTAATGACACAAACCTATTGTAGTATACAAATTTTAAAGAGAGAGATTCTCTTTTTGTAACCAAAAAAAGCACTATAAGAGAGAAGTGAGCTTTTTTTTTTAAAAAAAAAAGAAATCAATTTTTGTTACCCAGCATCCATTTAATCGTAGTATATATGTATGTATATTTATATATATATATATAAGATCATGATTTCTGCAATTCCAGATGCTTAAAGTCTTCGTATCATTTATCTACTAGCCTACTCACAGGTCCGATTACCTGATCACATCATATCTTGAAACTTCATCCAAGCTTCGACTTCCACTGCATTCAGCAAAATACGCAAAAATAAATCAAGTCGACTACACCTACCTCAGAAAAGACCAGCAGTACACACCATCCACCCATTGACTTTTAGATATGGTTGACAGCGTTTATACCCCAACAACAGGTTTAATGTCGCTACTATTCACCACTTCGCAAAATGGAGCTGAAGTTGGTACTGGAATTTACCCTTTGTTGAACTCTGCAAGAAACTTGTTGGGCCCTAATATACCAAAATTCTTAGTTGACTATAATGTCGGAACTCAGATCAATTTATTTGGTAGTTATCCTACTAGTGATGACTTTGGCCCAAGTTTGGCTTTTGCAATTCTCTTTGCTATAGCATTTATCTTTCATCTCATAATTTTCATCATCAATACATCCAGAGGTCACTACTTTTACTTGTCAGTTATATGGATGGTTTATTCGATCTTCAAGATTATCGGTTTTGCACTTCGAGTACAATGGTCGTACGATGTGACCCAGATCGCAGTCGGATTGACTAGTGAGGTATTTTTGCTCGTTCCTTCCATTGTCATTGTCTCGGCAAACTTGATCTTGGCACAAAGGTTATTCACGTGGAGACATCCAGTTGGTGGTTCGCGAAATTTGTTTTGGAGCTTTATGATTAGCACCTATTGTTTTGTTGTGATTCTTATTGCAGTCACTATTTTGGCATCTTTTGTTCCATACTTGAGATTTCTTAGTCATAAATCTTATAGAAGTTGGATCCATACAGTGCAATTTACTTCTATTTTGGTCATTTTGTACTCATTGACATCGGCAGCATTGATTGGATTGAGTTTCTGGTTACCAACGAAAAAGGATGAGTTGAGATATACATATCAACCATGGTGGATTGAAAGTTTTGCACCATTCTATTTTGTGGAAAAGAATGCCGCTCAAAAAGCAGAACGTGGATTCATGAAGAGAAACTCAAACCATAGACATGCCACTAGAGTCATTGCTGCAACACACCACCATTACCGCAGTGTCAAAGGGTTGACAAATAAGCGAGGCACACTCAAACATAACACCTCCATGGGAATTCTCATCATCACAACAGTGCTTATTTTCATTGCTGCTATATGTAGGGCAATTGTTGTGTTTCAAGCAAGGCAACATCGTTTTGCCAGCCCTGCAGAGAACAAGTACTTGATGTATGTTGTATGGGGTGTTTTCGAACTCATTGTTATGATTTTGTATATTGTTGGTAGGATTGATCTTCGATTTTATCGTCCAGATAGGTTGCCCTTGGAGGTCAGACGTATCGTCACTGCAGAGCAAACCTACTACCCAAGTTCAGATGAAGACGAAGAAGGATTCCACAGAGACAGACCAGAAACTTATGAAAAGATGCGTCGCGACAATATCGCCCATGGATACAAGAATTCAGAGTCAAGAATGGAGCCTGCCCATCTCTACCCTGAAAGAGGCGATGGTCGTTATGACGAAGAATCTGCTTTGGAAGAGGATGATGCTGGTACTTTTGATGACGATGATGTTGATTCTAATGAATGGGACTTTACTGTACCCCAAACCAAGACAGCGAGCACAAGTTCTGAAGATGCCAATGAAAAACACCCACCATACCCAGTCTCAGAAAAGCATGCAAGACAGAGCTCTGATAATGAGTCAGAGTTCCATTTTTAGATACGTTATACACTTCTTTCCCTTTACTTCTCCTGTTATTATAGATAGATACCTAATAGAAGCATACTGTTTCAATTTCATCGTCAAGGGAGTAAATTCATTTAAGCGGTTCACGAACCACTGAACATAACGGGTTTGAGTAATTGCATCTAGGAGTACTGTATGCCAGGATGTTTAGATGAACTGGCATTGAAAACAAGAGCTCTCCTCTTTCCATATGCCCTTCGCAAGTGATACGTAGCTTACTCATACTGCATACAGACCTGCTTGCCCCCCTTTTATACCACATGTTTATGATTTTTATATAAATTTACACCAAAAGGAGGAAAAACTACCTATCTACAGATTCCTTTAGCTTTAGCAAACATCAATTGATTGACACCATGAGCACTCCGCATCCTTCGAAGTTGCCTTTGGAGTTGTTTCCAGTAGACACGTTGAAACAGATTTTTTCCCATCTTACAGTAGGTGACTTCACTCACTTACTCGGTAAAGCTGATGGCTCGTTTTTGCAACACAATCCAAAGTTAAAGTACACGATTAAACAAATCATCAAGGGCAGTTGTTACATCAAATGGAATCATACATCTCATGTCGCATTCTTGGATGACTCTTTTTTTCTCAAAGATAGATTTGCTCCGGATAGATATTGTGTCAAAACGAGGGAGCAGCTTGTTGTTGTTCACGACTATTGTGTGGATGAACGTATAACGACCATTTTCAAAATTGCATACGACTTTAGTCAGTTGGCTGATATCATCGAGTTTGAGCAGTTGTTGAAGCTGATAACACCTGGTTACTATTCCAAATATGAGATACAAATTACATTTGCTCCAACTTGTTGCTACAAAATCAACTTGCAACGGTTGAACAACCTCTTTGCAAACATGAAATACAAAATCACTTCGTTAACAATTGACAATGAGAGTGGCACCACCAAGGTAATGGGAAAATTGGATCCCTCCAACTTCAAAAATCTTGAAAAATTGAACTTGAACATGGCTCTGTTTGAGGGCTCATTAGTAAAGTGCAGGAAATTGAAATGGTTTACTTATAAACCGGCCGATAAAAATGAGGTATTTCAGCTCCGCCAACTTCCAAGATCTTTGAAGGGTCTTGCATTGGCACACTTGTCGCAGCTAGTTTGGCCTCAAGAGATGGATTTGTGGGATCATTATCCCTCGTTAGAAGAAATTGCGTTGCAATACAAACCTTCAAGTAGACAACTGAAATTGCCCGAAGGTGTTGCCAACGTCATAAAATACATGACATGTCATGACACAAGCGTTTTCAATTTTGAAGCAAATGATCGAGATGATGGATACAGTAAGGAAGTTTGGAAATTGTTGGCAGATGCAGCACAGAAAAAGAAGTTTGCTTTGTCGCTGTTACAGGCCCAGTACCTTGTTACTTCGCCAATAGAGACGTATCCACTCAAAAATTTGGATATTGTGGCTATTGCTGATCCACAGGTATTGACACTGCTCACATTTCCCCCCTCATTGGAGTCATTGAGAATTGCATGGATTGTTGAATGTGCTACCACGGAGCTATTTAGAGCTTTACCACGCGGAATAAAAAGCCTAAATCTCCGTGGTTCAATAATTGATTAGGTTAACTCAGATGTGAATTTTGCCAAATTTTCAAAATTAAAGCAGCTCATTTTGTCACGCACAAAGCTTGGAAAGAGCTTAGACTCCTGTTTGTTTTCAGATTCCATTGAGTTGTTAAAGTTGGACGACAATTTTGTGGGCTCAGTTGAGAACGTGCATTTTCCCAAGAAGTTGAAGTTTTTAAGTATTCTGAAGAATGGAATTGAAAAGCTTTGCTATCCCGATTTCCCAATATCACTCAAGGAACTTACCATTTCGATGAACAGAATCAAAGAGCTTGACATTTCCAAAAACAAAAATGGTGAGCTATTGAACATTGAAGTCTTGTACTTCAAGGGCAACAAATGCAAAGTGAATGATTTGAGCTGGTCCAGGTTTCCTCAAAGCCTTATTGGGTTAACACTCGAAGATTACAAATTTCGACACCCAAGTTATCATTTTGGAAGCAAATTGCAATATTTGCGCATAATGGAAACGGATCTAATCATGTTGAAATCGCTCTCATTTGGCAACTTCACAACCATAAAGTATTTGTATTTGCCACAGTGTAATATGCGCAAGTTGGATATTGAAATTCCTCAAACTGTAGTTGAGCTTGATCTTTCAGCAAACAAAATACCAAATTTCCCCACAGAGTTAAGCAAGTTGAGAAACTTGCAAGTGTTGGATATGTCGTTTAATGATATTAGCAAACTCCAGGTTGAATTTGAATACAACACAATCGAGGTTTTGAACTTGAGAAACAATGACATAGCCGATATTGAGTTAAGTTTTGCAACACCGGTCACCAAATTGAAGCTGTTGGATTTGAGTCACAATTTGTTGAAACATCTTTCCATGAAAGCAATTGGTCAAACTGAAGAAACACGGCACGCTAATTTGTACGAGATTGTCCTTTCAGGGAATGACGTCACTTCGAAGGACAATATTGGTCCTTTGATTGATGACTTGCCGGAGTCCTGCCAATGCTTGTGGGTTGATACTTATAAGGATTCTGAAAACACCGAGATTAGCACGTTCAATCACTATGCATCTAACGAATATCCTAACAGATTGGTCCAAAACAAAGACGTGTCAACCAGTCGCAAGATATTTGGCAAGGATATCAGGATGGGGATTCTTCCCGAGAAAAAGGATAAAAAGCCAGTTGATGTTCCGCCGGTTTTTTTCACGAACCAGGATCTTCGCTTCTAGTTCGCCTGTGTTGATACAGGAATATGTAGTGTTTTATTAGCAGATTTAGCTAATTTAGTTTGATTAAGTTGCAACGTGCCATAATGTCTAGTTTGATTTGTTCCTTCGAAACGATTCTCTAAATTCGAACTGTGGTGGATGCTGGACAATAATAAAGAGAATCTCACTTGCAGCGCAAAAATAAATCGCAATTGCATTTACAATTCAGATTAATCTCATCTCTCTCTCTCTCTCTCTCTCTCTCTCCACTCAAGTCAAAGGTAACACACAGATGGTTTCAAATATATGGATCGCTGCAGCTGACAACCAAAGGGAAGAGGTTGAAAAATGCATCTCCCTGGGTGGCTTCACCCCCAATTCAAAAGATCCCAACGGGTACACACCGATTCACGCAGCAGTTTCATACGGTCATCATGATCTAATTGACTACTTGATAAAGAATGGTGGGGATATCAACATACAGGACAACGAAGGGGATACGCCCTTGCATCATGCTGAAGACGTTACTACAGCAAAGCTTCTAGTGGAGAAATATAAGGCTGATTACAGGATTAAGAACAACGACGGTTTAACAGCCGCCGATTTCATTGAAGAAGAGGATGAGTTCCCTGAGGTAGCGAATTATTTGAAGAGTCTCGTGCACGATAAGCCGGAGGATGTATCCAGTGACGCGGCTCAAGCAAATGATTTTTTGGCAAGTTTGCCTCAGCCAGGAACCAGGGACGGTCGAGAGATCAAATACTCCTTACAAACAGAGGAGCAACAACATGGTGACGAGCAATTGAGCCCCGAGGAACTAGAAGAAAGGAGGAAAAAGATTGAGGAGATCTTACAAAGTGATAATCCAGAGGAAGGGTTGAGGGAGCTTATCGCCAATGCTGTCCATGAAGGGTTAGAGCAACGCCAGCAGGAAAGTGACGAAGAGCCTAGTAACAAGAGGAGGAAGTAGGTAGGAAGTAGGCAGGTGGCTTGTAATAGACAATTTGCGTATATTTTTATTGTAGTGGGGTGGGGTGGGGTGGAAATGTGCATGCGCTGCGCGGCGTTTGCCAGTCCAGATCCAACGCACGAGACAAGAAAAAATTCAATGAAAAAAAAAAAAAAAATTAAAAATGGAATGAAAAGTTGGTCAAAAGAAATACCTTACGCTGGATTCAATTCATCAAAAATGATATTTGAATTGATATCAAAGTACTATCCCTTTGCAGTTCCTGAGCAGTATGTTTAGCTTTATTCACTTTCTGTAGAATTTCAACCCGATACTAACCCAAACTCCAGAGTTAACCAGCTCACTTTGGAGGAGCTTAACGCATTGACAATTTGGCAAAGAATTCAATTGAAAGACTGGAGAGTTGAGTTCTTCACTTTAGGATTCACCCTTGTATTTGTCCTCCTTTTCAAGGCCGGGGACTTGTACAATCAGTCGAAAGTCACCAAATTTTTGAACAACTTAAAACCAACATTTTCCAAACAATTTTTCCAATTTGGCGTGGCTCCTAATAAGCTTTATGTCAAGGATAGTGCTGAAAACTATTCTTCTTATGCTACAGGACGTTTGAATATCGCCAAGGTTGATTTGAAATTCGTTTTGGCTCCACGCCACAACCTATTTCTTTGGATCATGGAGGTGTTGATCAGTCTATTCACGAGCAACGTTCAAGCTCCAGAGGATACTGTTGAGATTGTTATTACGCCACTGGGTAAATACGACAACTTTATTTCGGCTATTGTGTCGAAATTGGGTATGAATGATGCCAGAAAGGCAAACTACTTTTTGTCATTGTGTAGGACAACTGATTCGCCAAATTTGCCAGAAAGTTTTGTATACATGAGTGAAGCTCATGAGCTTCAAGACAAGTTAACTACGCCGGAGTTGAGACAAGCATTGACTGTGGGAAGTGCTTCATTCATCAAATTCATTGCTTTTACTGACCAACCCGAGGCAAGGCCAGAATCATTGAGAGCTTTTCTTCCTGATAGAAGAGTAATTGTTAGATTGAGTCTTGTAACTGGTAATTCGGACCTTAAAGTGGTTAGTGAAGTATTGGATACTGTTTTCAACCTTGTTGACAAGTTGTCTGACCAAGCCATTACCTTCAAACCAGAGACTGTAAAGAAGGTTGTCAAGACTAGAGATTTTGAAGTTGAAAAATTCAAGAAGTTGGAGCAAGAGGTCAAGAATGAGAGGTTAGCTGAGGAGCAAGCCAAATTGAAAAGGGAAGAAAGGGACAAGTTGAGAAACTTGTCTAGAGAGGAGCAGTTGAAGGCCGACAAAAAGGCCCAAGAAAAGAAACAGAAGAAGTTGCAAAAGAAACAAAGAGTGAGAATGTGAGATGACAAGACTTTATAATTTGCCTTATTCGTTAGTGTTTGCATTGAAAATATATATGTATATGTCCATGAGCGTTCATCAAACTTTGCCTGTAAGACGCCATCCTCGACCAACTGGGGTGTTGAAAACCTCCACTATTCCAGCACCTAGTGCATCTGCTAGTACCCAGTGTAGATCATAACCGTAAAAGGGATTTCGAAAATTGTTGAGTTTTAATCCGCCCTCCATATTTATGCCCAGCCACCTCGTGAAGAGATCTTCTTCAAGGGCCTCTTTGTATTTAACTTTATTTAAAGTCTTGACTAACCAATTGCGACCTTCATTAACCAACTTGAGGTAGGATCCACAACCTGGGTAGGAAATAGAATAGTTTTGTTCAATTTCATTGAAATGGTTTGAAGTGAGGGTAACGAACCCCAATCGGACTAAGTTTGTAACCTCCTCATTTGTGAAATCTGAAGTTGAGATAAACATCTCTGTAGGATGTGACTTGATGAACTCGTGGAATTTGGATAGAGCTTGCTTTTGTGGGCTCTTCTCTTCTAATCCCGGTATTAAACTCTCCATAAGTTCATGGTAACAGTCAACCTTTGCAATAATCTCCATATCTTCAAACCCGTAAGTCACCCTCTTCAGCTGGAACTTGTTGAGTGACCTCAGTATAATCGGTGATGCATTGCTAATTACAAACTTGCGCAACTTGCCCAGTCGAATATTCAACTCTAATGACTTGTCGACAAATGTGGGTCCCTGGTTGTGAAAGATTGCATACAACTGAGTGATTGTGATCAAGCCTTGAGGTAGTGCCTGTCTGTATTGAACCAACTCTGCTTTCAAAGCTGACGAGAGCCCTTTGATGGAAAAGATCCTCTCTTCTTCCGTAGCTACATCAGCTCCTGTCCTGTAACGATTATGGAGCTCGGTACAATCGGACCATCGATTCGATAGTACAGTATCCACCGCAACGAGAACATCATCCTGAGAAGATAGCTGGTAGTCTAGCTGAACGTTATAGTCTAACGCCAAAAGCTTCTCCGTGTCTGGCTTCGAAGGTGACGAGGGCGGCAAAGATGAATTCTGATTACTAAGATTGTTCTTGTACACTCTTTGCGATGGCAATAACATCTTGGCTTCTTTTTGAAACTTCTTGATAGGAGACTTGGAAGGCAGGCGACTCTTGGAAACACTAGAGGTCCTAGCGGCACTGTATCGTAATGGCATGATAAGTCATTGGGGTATCTGTGTAGTAATTTCAATGAATTGCAAGAGGTGTCCATTTTTTTTCTTCTTTTTTTATTTTGTCGCAAATTGAATGCAAAAAATGGGAGATTCAAGAAGATACCATAAACAACATTATTTACTTCAATATATACATGAGAGTGCTTCAGATACACCTATTCTACCTCCAACACTCTTGTGACAACTGAGCTGTCATCAGCAGACCTTACTTGAACTTGGAATCTACCTGTTTCGGTGATTGAATCAAGATGGTCCTCAGGTGTATCTATATAGCTCAAGTCCAATTTTCCAATATCGACATTACGTTCTGTCAACTCTTCCATATGTTTTGCCACAGCTTTCTTTGTGATTGGCAATGCAGAATTACTCAATGTCAATAATTTGGGCAATTTGTTATCAAGGTCCTGAATTGAGTCGAATTCAACTTCCAAACCAGGTATTGTTCCCTTTGAGGTGTCGAATATGTTTGATTGTATGTTAAGCTCCGGTTTGTCGGATGTTCTCTTTGACGACCTCATACTACTGAACAAGTCTGACAACTCTTCGAGGGACATAGCGCCCTCAGATACTTCGTTTGCCAGTTCCTCGATCTCCTTCTTGTCGGCAACGACTTCAACCACTTTTTCTTCTTGTTCCTTCTGAAGTTGTCTCCGCTTCCGTTGTTCTTGAAGACGCAACTCCTCCACATCAACCACCGGAATTCTGGGCGGGTTATTTGGTGTAACATAGCAAGCTTTGTTGTCAATGTGCAAGTAATTTCTCATGTAACCTGGCTTCACATGTAGTATCTGACCTTCAACCCCAATTCCTGGTAAAGTTTTAAGTAACTGTACCTCCACCAACTTGTTTACGGTCCTCCGTTGCTTCATAGTTCTGACCGAGCACCTGTATAAAGGTGCATTTTGTAAGGAACGTGTTCTTGAAAACATGTGGTGGATATGGTGGTGATAGTTGTGGTAGTCGACTGATTGATATTTGCGTGTTGAAAATTTTTTGTTTTGGCAAAGCGACAGAGAGAGAGAGAGAGAAAGAGAGAGAGATGGAAAATACGAAGAGAGCGTCAGTGAGAAAAAAGCTTTGCATTTGCAACTGTAAGATATCATCACATCTCCTCTCTACTTCTTTCATTGCACACCGCACTTTCTTTATACTCACTTTTTGATGGACACTCCAACAGGTGATTGCAAGATATGCCAACAAAACCAAGCCAAATATACCTGCCCGGCGTGCAATACAAAAACTTGCTCTTTAACCTGCTACAAGACTCATAAAGACCGAGATTCATGCACAGGCAAAGTTGATACAACAAAGTTTATACAAAAACTGGAGTTGACGGATAACCCGACACATTTGAACCGAGATTATAACTACCTTCTTAATGTTGACAGGTCAATACATTTATCAAAAGAAGACATTAAACAGAAAGCTAGGAATATTTTGAAGAGATCGAAACAGGAAAGCAGACCGGACAGGAAGCGTTTCAGACTGAACGAAGCAGAAAATGACAAGAGAAGACTTCGAGTCAGCCAGATCTTCACTCAGAATCCAACCGTTGTTGTCAAGAGAGACAACACCATGATTATTCAGGTGGCACCAGGGATGCAGAGAGCCTTGTCCAACAAGACGGGGTATGACAAAAAGTCAAATGCATTTACATGGACGGTAGAATGGATTCTCCTAGATCAGACAGGAAGTGCCGAAATATTCAAATTCTTGAGCTATCGGCTAAACGAGAGCTTGAGTCTTAACAAAGCCGTTCCGCTAAACGTATTGAAGAACCACGGCTTGACCGAAGTCGACCTGTTGACATTTTACTTAAGGAATGTCACAAATACTCCCCCTAATTCTGTAATTGAGCTCGATAATGAACAGTCCATCAGTAGTGTATTGAAGGACAAAATTGTGATAGAGTACCCAACCATTTATGTATCTGCAAATAAAGAGACAATGGCCAGCCGAGTTGTGGATGCAGCCCAAGCATACGAGCCAGAATCAATACCGCTGGATTCTGGTAGCTCTGATCTGAGCCCAGATTCGAGTCTGGAGAGCTCTTCGGGTGAGGAAAGTTCCGACGACGACGACGACGACAACTGTGAATCCGACAGCGATTCTGACAGTGGACCAGAAGAATCATCGGCAAAGCCTTCTGTTGTGAATGGTACAAGTTCCGACAAGATACCGGGGGAAAATACCGCTGTCAATGATATATAGCCTCTCGTAAATACAATGAAAACGTAAAGTTGTGGAAAGTGCGCACAATTTTGTATCTCATCATCTTCACCTCCCAAAACACCAAAGTAATCCCAAATGTCCTCAATATTTCGAAAACTACCGGATTCCGAAAGGAACACCAATGCGTCTTTGTACTTTGGAAATCTAGACCCGCAATGTCTGGAGTTGTTGATGTACGAGTTGTTTATTCAGTTTGGCCCGGTGAAAAATATCAACATGCCTAAAGATCGTGTACTCAAAACACACCAAGGTTATGGCTTTGTTGAATTCAAGAACCCACTAGATGCAAAATACACCGAGGACATCCTACGAGGAGCAAGACTCTATGGGAAGCTGTTGAAGTTGAAGAGGTTGGACTCGAAGCCACAAACGCAACAGCGACTGCAAGTGGGTACATATGTTAGCACTAAACTGGAGTTGTTGAGTGACAAATACATTGATGTCGGAGCTAGAGTGTTTGTTAACAACTTGAATCCATTGATCGATGAAAAGTTTTTGATGAATACATTCCTGAAGTTTGGCACCGTTATAAAAGAACCTGAAATCAAACGAGATCATGAAGGAACTTCAATGGGATTCGGGTTTGTCACATTTGGAGACTTTGAGACTAGCGACTTGGTCATCGAAAAACTAAACAATACCATTCTAATGAACTCAAAGATCAGTTTGGATTATGCATTCAAAAGTGAACTTGGGGAAAATGGGAAAAGGGTACGCCATGGAGACGAAGCTGAGAGAAAGCTAGCTGCAAATGCAAAGAAGAACAACTTGCTTAAACTGAAAAGTAATGGCAGGGTAAATAAGAAAGGTAAACATAAGTGACGTAGTTAGAAGAATATATAATTGTGCTTCCTTATCGTCTTTCGGATAGTAGGGGTCGTCATTTCGCGGTTATCGAGAAAGTGGATATGGATTTTTTTTAGCGGATTGGGGAACAGTTTCCATAAGGCTGACCGTGCAAGGTTGAATGTATATCCAAGCAATCCACGAAGACACTCTTCTCGAGTGTCTGAAGCTACAGCCACAAGCAACCCAAGAGGACCAATCAGGGGTGGAAGAAGGTTCTGCAAAGAAGAAAAGAAAAACTAGTACACGAGATGATTTCGAACAGTTGAGAATCATAGAGCGATCCTTGGAGCTTGTTGATGAATACAAAGGTGACACTAGTATCGAGATTGTTGACGTTTCAGTAAAACTTGTGATTGATAAAAGCGATAGGCTACATGTGAAGCATTTTCATAAAAGGTTGCGATCCTTGGTTGAAATAGATGATATATTGGAGTCACAGATGCCACGAGAGGAGATCCGATTATTAGCTCCATCAAACAACAAATACGGACTTTCAGGCGGAGCCAAGTTGAGCTTGAAGTTGGGGAATGGGCTAGTTCGTTTGACCTTGACTTATTTTCTAGATTACAAATTGAGTTTGCACAATACCATACTGAGAAAGATACTGGCCGCGTTGATAGGCATTTTGGATACTAGACACAACCCTGACCAGATTGAAAATAAAGCAACCGTGACACCAGAGCTTTTTTACAAGTGCATATGCGAACACACGAAGGAATTACCTGCGTTTGATGCTGAATTTGACCTCCCTGAGCTAGAAACAAAATTGTTAAGCTTTCAAAAGAAAACCGTAAACTGGATGTTGAGGAAAGAAAATGCCAGATACAATTTCGAAACAAATCGATGTGATCAGATTGTTTACTTTTCAGAAAGTGACTTGCTTGACGAAAATCGGCTATTGGAGGTGGTGAACCAAATATGGTATGGTTGGAGAATAATAGAAATATCTGGTAAGCAAGTCTATTTCAATAAATACACAAGTCACCTAGCGACAGCAGAACAGATCAACGCATACCTATATGACTATTTACACCAAGTGGATAAAAACCAGTACCCCACGACACTTCCTGCACGGTGTTTACTAAGCGAAGAAATGGGTCTCGGAAAGACAGTGGAAACAACATCATTGATTTTGCTCAACCAGCGGCCCATCAATGAAGTTGATAAAACACTCAGCCTACCATTGAATCAGTTTGGAGACGCTAAAACTATCATCAAGGGTCGCACAACGCTAATCATAACGCCTTCCACTATACTTCAGCAATGGAAAAACGAAATCAACAATTTGGCACCTTCGCTAGCGTTAACGGAGTACAAGGGAGTATCCAATTACCCCATGTTTGACAACAAACCTGCTATTATTGCCGAATACCTCCGAAAATTCGATGTAGTGATCACCACTTACCAAATAATAGCAAAGGAGTTAGACTATGCTAAGTACTCTAGTAAGTTGCGCAAAACTAGAGGTGCGCAACGAGACGCCCCCTATCTGGACTGGAAGGAGGAGGATGAGTCAGAAACTTCGACTAACGGAGATGTCAAGGATACATTGTCTCAGGATTATCTGACTTTGTTCCAGTTGACAAGTTTAAGAAAACCTCAACTTGCAAATAAAAAGACGGACTCGCTGCAACCGGAAACAGACTACGAAAAAGCATTACAGGATGAAATACAATTAGCATTGAGACATAATACAATTTCTAGCTGGTACCGGAAAAACGACTATGAGTCCCCCCTAATGCTCATTCAGTTTTGGAGAATCTTGCTAGATGAGGTGCAAATGGTGTCCCTGACAGTTTCCAAAGCTTTTCAGAGTGCTGCATTGATCCCCAAGTTTCATGCTTGGGGCGTTTCTGGTACCCCAATAAAGAAAGATATAAATGACTTGTTTTCGTACTTGAAATTTTTGAGGTTTTATCCTTTCAATTATGATATTGGTGTGTTGTCATGGCAGTTACTACAAAAGAATGAGACCGAGTTTAAATCATTCTGGTCAAATATAGCGATCAGACATACTAAAGCTATGGTACACGATGACATAAAATTGCCCCCACAAAATCGAATTTTATTAACTATACCATTTTCAGCAGTAGAGCAGGATTTGTATGACGAGAAATTCTCGGAGTGTTTGTCACACATCGGGTTAGATGAATTTGGTAATCCAATTGCAAATGATTGGAACCCTTCACCATCGGTGCTTAGTTTGATGCGAACTTGGCTCTCTCGTTTGAGGCAAATTTGCTGCTCGCCTCAGGTTGGAAACTTACAGTTGGGATCAAGAAGAATGAAGCGCTCCAATTTGAGAAGCGGAATGGCATTGATTGATTCTTTGAAAACCTTGGACAATTTATTAAGTGATATGCTAGTTCGTCTGTATGGAGAAATTAGTGATTTTGAAAAGAGAAAAATCGAGGGATTGTCACATCTAACCGACTTGTTGGAATTTGTCTACCACCCGGAAGAAGCGGCAAAGTACTTGAAGGTTGGTATAATGGAGACTTTGGATGTTATCAATCGAACAGAGAAGATTCTTGACAAGTACATTCAAGATTACAAAAGTAATATGGGCAGTGCAGTTGATGATGATGATGATGATGAGATTGGCCAAATAGAAAGTGAACAAACAGACAATAAAGAGGCCCTTATTTCTTCTACAAGAGCCAGACTCAGAAGCTGGCTATTACTTTTGCATCGGTTCTACTTCTTGTACGCTTCAGCCAACTTCCAGTTGTACGATCCATCTTTCCAGGAGCTTGTCAAGAAACACAAACCTGGGATTGATGTGAAAAACTTGGAGGAATTACTTAAACAATTTGGTAACCAAGAAAGAGCCAACGAACTAGCTTCATTGGCTACTTCGATTCCAATTACTGAATTCGATTCTCAAGACACTTTTATCGAGTTGGGCACTCCTCAAGAGAATGAAACAAAATACTACGAATTGGCCGAGCACGCAAGGGTCAAGATTTTGAAAGGAGTTGTCAAGCAGTTTAACAAAATCTCCAAGAATCGGATATCTAACCGGGGATACTTGTTTCCTATCGAGACTGATTTTGTGGATGATGCCTCAAGCTTGCTTCCCAAGTCATCTAAAAAGTTTTTCAACAAGATTCCTGTAATTGATATCGATGACTTGACCCCTTTTGCCATCACTCCAAAAGTGCAATCATTTTTGAAAAAAGTCACAACATTCCTCAATAAGATCAACAACAATGCTAAAGAATTTAATGGCAAGTTTCCTAGATTGGTCGAGCTATTACTAGAACCCGTTGATAAAAAAGACACTGAAGTTGTTAGTAAAGAGAGACAAGAGGAGAGCGATGAAAAGGAAGATACCATAGACAATGATTATGAAAAACATTTAGAAGCACAGGCTAGCATCGAGGATCTTTTGTCGATTTTGGATGCCCTTTTAACTAAGCGGAAAGGGATGATATCTGGACTGCTCGAGGAGAGATACGATCCGTTGAAACCCAAGGAGTCCGACGAAGAGGATAGAGTGGATTTTTCGAAATTGGTGTCGGAACTAACCACCATAGAGAATGAGTTGGAGGAGTTTTCGTCAAAGGCAGTTGGACTAGACATTGAACTATTTGGCGTGTTGGGTCAAAAGCTTCGAACGTTGTACGAAAATCAAAAGTTGGCACAAACAATGATAACGAGGGAGTTGAACCTCAATTGTAATGCAATTTTCAACGCGAGGGTCGAGTATTACAAGCAGCTTCAGCAAATATCCGACACTGTGAGTCTGAGAGAATATCCGTACTTGAAAAGGGATGAACTTGATTCTTATCGTGTTAATTCCATGTTGAGGGGAGTGCTATCTACATTTGCTGAGTTAAGACGTTCCATGGATAATGCCATTGGTCGATTTAGGTATTTAACTGAATTGGTGAAGGAGTCACAACAAACAATTACCAATGCAGAAGAGGATGTTATGACCTGCATCATTTGTCGATCCAACATTAGTATTGGATCCCTAACTCAATGTGGACACAAATACTGCAAGGAGTGTCTTGAGCAGTGGATGAAGAGCTCGCGACATTGCCCAATGTGCAAGGCCAGGATCGATATACATTCCGTTTACAATTTCACTAGATATGCCCCAGAGCTCAAGGCCAAAGAGGTTACCAACCCCGAGTTGAGACCGAAGAATGGAACTATAATCAACTCAATTTACAAGCCTTTGAACCAAGATTTAATTCAAGAGGTGCAAGAGATCAAATTGGGATCTTCTTACAGTACTAAGGTAGACTTGATTGTCAAACAGGCTTGCTATTTGAAGAAATGCGATCCGGGGGTGCAGATTGTTATATTCAGTCAATGGCAAGATATGTTGTACATCGTGGGCAGTGCCTTACAAGCTATGGGGATCACCTATGTTGGAACTGAGAACGTGTTTTTGCCTAATCAAAAGAACTCGTCATCAAAGAAGCCGAGAAAGGAAGTTGCAGTGGAGTACTTCAAAAAACCCGAAAATAGAGTAACTTGTTTTTTGTTAAACGCACAATCCCAAGCGAGTGGGTTGACGTTGGTGAATGCTACACATATATTCTTGTGCGAACCCTTAGTCAACACTTCGTTGGAGTTGCAAGCAATATCTCGTATCCACAGAATTGGTCAAACAAAGCCAACCACAGTGTGGATGTTTGCAGTTGAAAACACTGTGGAAGAGAGTATCATAATCACGTCAACAAATAAAAGGATCAGGTTGATTGAAAATAGTGCCATTGATGAATCGGAATCCGAACCAACCGAAGCCAAATTGAGCGAGGCAGATTCATTGACCATGATGAGCAGTGTTGGTGCCGACCAACTTTTAGAGAAGCACGCACAAGGAGAGAATGTACCCAACAATGACTTGTGGCATTCATTTTTCAGTGCCAAACAAACTAAGCAAAACTTAGGTTTATAGTTATTGTATTGAAAATTATGATATACGAAAATTGCTAAACGGCAATATAACCATCCTCGTTGAAACCCACGTAAATCTTTCCGCTCTCCACTAAATCGGAACAGTGCTTCTCACACTCCTTTTGGGGCATGGATAACTTTTGAGCAATATATGTAACCGGCACACCGTCGTTCATCGTGAGACACTCTTGTTTGATAAAATTCAAAACCCTATCTGTAGCGGAACCCTCACTGTCGACAAATAAATTGTTACCGTTAGCTTCCCCGATTGCTGAACCACCTGCTTTGGTTATACCCTGGCTCTTCAAGTGGTTATATATAGCGTTCAAATGGTGGTAAATAATCTGATTACTATCTTCAACAAGGTTGATGGAGGCATTCAGTACACTTTTGTTTCCGTTATAAAGTTTTAAAGCACCTCCAACAAACACGTATTTGTTCAAAAACCCCTGATGCTTTTCTCTCTCTTGTTCAATTGAACTATTGTTTTCATCAACCCATTTACGTACATCAATTGAGCCAGTTCCATCCTCTACAGTGATGGCCAAAGACAGACCGCTAGCATGCACTTTTCTAACAACACCAATAAATCCCACCAAGCTGATACTCACATTGTGGACCTTGAACTCGCCATCAGGCACTGGTTGCTCTGCTTCAAGAATTTGTTTGATTGTTACTGGTGCAATACTATTACGTGTTTGTACCTTGTTTTGTTGCGAGTTTCCATCTCCACTGAATCCACCTTGAGAGTATCCACCGCCACCAGTATCGCCACCAAAGTTTCCGTAATTTCCAAAATCAGACATTGCAGGGTGCTTTGTTGTTGAGTGTATTGCTGAATTGAATTTAAGTTGTAATATCCAAGAGGGTGAAGCTTGAGAAGAAAGACGCGTTTTGATTTTTTTTTCTTTTCCTCCTTTCTTTGCCTCTGTCTCCGTCTCAACTCCTTCCAGAAGAGGCTAAGAATGTAGCATTCGGCAGGTTTTTCCATTAAGGGGAAACTTGAACCCCTCACCCCTTATTGCTTAAGAAGACGAAATGATAGGTAGGGATAGCTCTTGCGACCATTACATATGTAAGTGCTTTCTCTCCAGCACTAGTAACAAAATTGCATGGGTGTGTTTCACTGCGACTACCAGCCGCATCTCACGTGAGAAAAGACATTTGAGTTCCATGTCAACAACAACAACAACCTGGTAACAAATTTATCTTCATTCAGGTCGTGAAAATTATTTACCCAAGCGCAGCTTTTTTCACTCTACTCCACACTTTTAGAATCTTTGCAAAGGTTTACATTACTGTCAATGGACTCAAACATAGACCCCGAGGTTGCTAAGAGTCAACCTGTTCATGAGGATGATGTGGGGTCTTTAGAAGAGCAGAGTGAAGTCCAACATACGCCAAACAGCAACAACAATTTACCAACATTTGCGGAGGAAAATAATGCCTCGCAAATTATGAGCTCGGGCTCAGCAGAGGCTGCGTTAACATTGTTGAATGATCTACGTCCAAACGATCAATCTCGCGATGCGGGCACAGGTTCCATTCCACCAGCGGAATATATGGATATCATACTGAAAATGGAGTTGCAGAAACCTGAAATGTTGTTAGTCCAGTATGATCCCGATGGGAAACCATTGAGACTTGGACGTCCTCGGAAACACATTACGAGGCCCCCATCACCTCCCGAGACATCTTCTGATCAGAATTATAACCAATCAATAATGTCAAAGTTTAGATTCGACTCGCAGCCAGTTGAAGGTCCGGGATCTCGAGGAGGCAAGAATTTGAGAAAAGAAACTCGTGGCAAGATTACGCTGGATGCAGTGAAGAAGAGACAGCAGTCGATTCTCAATTTCGCTGTAGCGGAGCCCAACCCTGCAAACAGCGAGGCTACAAATGTACCGACCGAAGGTGAGAACAATGACCACAAGCAAGAAAACAATCCAGTTAAATTGTTTATTAAAGCACCAGAGAAAACTGATCTGCAGTCACCTGCACCTCAACAGAAGAGACAAAAACTAAGGAACTCGCTCAATCCAATGCGGAGAGCACTCGAGAAGCGAAACCCAAAGGCCTTGCCTTCGCCTTTGATTCCAGTGAGCGCTGCGGAAGACTTTTTGATTCGAAATGACGAAAGCCGTTTAGCCAGCAACACGCAATTGGCGTTGGGGTACCCTATACAGAAAGCACCTTATGCTAATGACATCATGTACTTGGTTTTGTTCTTGACCAAGTTTAGGGAAGTAATACCTTTCAAAAATCTAGGTCCCAAGAGTTTTGAGCAAGGATTGTGTCTACCTCCTCTTCGACAACAGGATGAAAGCTCGAGATATAACTTGCGAAGTGAATTTGTTGAGAAAGATGATGATTACGACATCTCAAGCGTATCGCCAGAGATGGAAGACTTGTTCAAGAGATTGCTCACTTTGGTCTTGAACCGCAAGAAGGACGTTGCATCAGCAAGTGGCGCAATCCTGGAGCTCAAGCCACAAAGTGCAAGATTGGGGTTACCCAAGGAGTGGAGAGTTTACAGCCCCAGTGAAAAGGAAGCTTACGATGCTGGAGAACCAGTAGATCCAGCTCACCCGGAAATATTAATTACAAAGTTCCCCAACGAACCAGATTATGTAATCACGTTCAACCCTTTTTACACCAACGATTTTGAATCCAAAGGGCTACGTGGCTTGAGTAATCCTTTGGATAGGCTACTTGTGTTGAAAACATTAGCTCAGTGGTCGTTGTCAACCTCGGATTCAATCAAGAGCTACATTGCTCAAAATGTTCAAAACCAAGAATTGCCAGGTGAAAAGGACACATACTACGCATCTAGAGCACTTTTGTATGGATTCGATGATTGTAAACAGGCAAAAGCGAAAGCTGATGCACGATTGGCGAAAATGAAGTCAACTGAGGAGGATTTGAAGTATGTTGATCCTACTTCTGATCCAACAGCTCATTCCATGAACATTCGATTAGTTGATCATCTTGTCGGAGATTTAGGGTTTTATGGGGGAAGATTCTACTTGTGTAGAATGGCTGATGGTAACAATGGTGGTCTAACCTCGGTAAATAAAATGAGTACTGTTTTCAGGGGCCAGGATGTTGGCTTGGGGTCGTTACCACCTTCTGATTTCAAACTTTATGTTCAAGATACGCACTCAATTTCCAAAGGTGCAGCCAAAGCTGATGGAGTAGAATTCGACGAAAATGGAAATGAAGTTGATACTACAGCAGATAGAAACTTTGACGATTCTGAGCATTGGTACGAAGTTGCATCAAATGCTACTGAATTGAAAGAGTTTGTTGCTTACTTGAGCAAGAAACTCTACAACCGTACAAAATACAGCGTTGGTTCTGATTTGCACCAATCAACAAGCAGGTTTCATGCATACTTGTCTAGATTGTTGCCATTAATCGAAGCACAGGAACAATTGCAAACGACATCAAGACAAAAGAGGAAAAGAACTATTGATTATAGTGATTCTCGTGCAGCTGCAAGGTATGATGATGCTTTTGGTGCGGTAGGAGACGATGTTATTGTGGACGATGGGTATGATGACGACAATTATATAGACGATGATGTTCCCGAAGCTATCGAATCAGAGGGAGATGAAGAATATATCGATTGAGTTAAGAAAAAAGAACGATAATAATACAGCTTCTAATTACACAATATTCCCTAATACCTACTTGATCCAAACAAAAGATCAATTTTTTCCTTGATCAAGCCTTCGTTGTCTTCAAAGTACTTAGCCCTTCTAACGATTTCCTCATCATATCCTTCATCGCTTTTCAATGCTTTAAGGGTTTCTGCCTGACTAGTCAACCAATGTTCAATAAACTTGACCGGATCTTTACTCAACTCACTATAAAATGTTTGTCTTGAGTTGGCATTTCTCAATTCAATGATAGCCAATGAGATTTTTTGGTTCAATTTTTCAATCATTGAATCATGATGAGACAAGTTTTCAAGAGCAGACTTGTTCAATTCCAACAATTCACGTTGCGCTCTGGCTATATTGACAGGCAACTCAGTAGGAATATCCAAAACCACATCGCCCAAAGTTGTAGACCTTCTTGTGTCTACTTCATAATCGACAATTATTGGCTCTCTTGGATTAAAGTGTTGTTGTATCAATCCGTACAAGTCGGAGAATTTGAATTCATTCACCTTCAACAACTCTCGCAAAACTTCGTCCGCTTCAGCCAAAGTGAGATCGTCATAGGCACTACGGTCCTTATCAGCACCGGGGTTTATGTCCCCCAACCCTTCAATAGCTGAAACATGGTTGTATTTGGCAGTTTTAACAAAAAGTTTCTTGTTCAACACATATTGCCAAATTGTGTACATCACCTCCTGCTGGGTGCATTCAAGTTTGCCCATAAACTCAGCCATGGCTTCACTTACATTCAATTTGGAAGTGAAACTCTTCACCATCAATGCTATCTTTACCGTGAGGTTGTACTTGCCCTCTCTCTTGATATCCATCCCATCAAAGCCAACAGTTGCAGCAGGATCTCTACCAACGTTATTTGATGCATCGTCTCTCCATTCTATAATATTGTTGTTTTGTTCTTGAAGGCTGGGGTAATGTTCGTTTTCTAAAACATCCACAGATATACCTGATAAAAATGCACTAAATTTCAAATTGCTGGTCTCCTCCTGTGCAGATTTATCATCATTGATAAATTTTCCTTCAACACGCAAAGTCCAAGTTGGGGTAGTATTTTCAGGTACTTCCTTCCCCTGCTGTTGTAATAGCTGTTTTTGCCAAGGCTGGTGTTCACATGTGTTGTATATGAATACTCTCAATATACCAGTGCTTGGTTTATATTCAAACGGATGGATTGACTTTTGCTGTATTGCTTGGAAATCAAGCGCTTTTCTTGCAATGAGTAAGTCCACTCTCCTTTCAGCTTCTTTCAATGCTTTGTAGTCCTTGAGGTTGGGGATTTTGTCGTATAGTGACGGAGGAATGGTTATATCCGTTGGGGTGTACGATATGGCAGGTATGGAGCTAGCGGTTGAGCGAGGCTGGTTGACAGGCGGAGGTGGCGGTTGTGCTGCTTGTTGTGGAGGGACGTGTTGATTGGGTAATGGTATGTGAGACATACTGATGAGTGAAACTTGTTGATGACGGGTAAAGGTAGACACCAACTAGCTGTGTGTCTGTTGTGGGTTTGGACTGGAAATTTTTTTTTTTTTTTATTTTCTTTTTTAAGTTTTATTTCTATTTTTTTTGGTAAAAGTTACACGCTGTCAGAGGACTATACAACTCTGTATCAGTTTGATCAGCTTTACATTAGATACAGCCTATTAGGGCAACACAGGGAAGTGATTGATTGAATAGCTAGCCAACTTCCCAAGAGGCCAAAGATATTCATAGTACAATTCACAAACCATTTCCACCAAATTTGGCTCCAATATCGCGATATATCTACTCCAAGTTGAGCACGTCACCCCCTCCGCAAATGGATCAGAAATCACGCAATGGTCAAAGTATCAAGATACAACGAAGAAAAGTGGTTTCTTCAACCGCCAATTCCACATCTTCAACACCGCAAAACTTGCTCAATCAAGCAACAAAGTTGAAAAATACCAGAATTAAGAACATGCGGAAACGTAGGAGGGATTTGCTAATGAGAATAAATTACACCCATACCATCACCACTGTTGTCTTACCCCTATTGATGCTATGCTACATGTTCTATTTTAAAGAAAGTATACTACCGGAGAACCAGGCAACTTTATATTTCACCATTGTGTATTACAATATCACAGTTTTGGCATTCACTGCTGGCTACCATAAATATTTTGCACACAACACGTACAAGATTAGGTTTCAGTTTTTAAAGTATTATTTTGCAGTTTTTGGAAGTAGTTGCGGATTGGGATCAGTTAGGTGGTGGGCGTCGCTACATCGCGCACATCATCACTTTACAAACAGTACGGAAAAAGACCCGTATCTGATTAAAAGAGGGTTGTTGTTTAGTCATTACGGGTGGTTGTTGAGGAAACCACGAGCGGTTCAGTTTTTCAATGAGTTTATCGAACAGGAGTTTCCACAAAAGATTGACGAAGCTAGACTGGCACAGGAATTTGAACTCGACAAAGAGCAGAGAGAAGCTTTTGGGCTTCGAGATGAGTTTGATGATGCTGGTGGGTCAGAAGATGAAGGCGAGGTTGAGTTTAAGGATACGTATGATGAAAATATGAGAGACCTTTTGAACTGGCAAGAAAGGACTTATTTGTTTTGGTTTACAGTTACCACCGTCGCTATTCCCATTGTAATCACCAAACTATTCTGCAATGACACTGCAATGCATGGGTTGTTATATCCCGGAATTTTAAGAATGTTTTTATGTCAACAATCGCTTCTTTCCACAGAGTCATTGTGTCATTTCAAACCGATACAAGTGACTATCCCATCACAACCATTTAGTGACAAAAATTCGTCACAAGACTGTCAAAACCCATTGATGGCGCTACTCACTTACGGCCAATCACATCACAATTACCACCACGAGTTCCCACACGATTATCGCAGCAACAACGGGGTTTTCACATATGATCCAACCAAATGGTTCATTTGGACATTGGAGAAGTTGGGAGTAGTCTGCGAGTTGTGTAAAACACCAGATAATTTGGTTGAACATTTACGTCTTCAGCAACAACAAGAGGTGCTCAATAGAATGAGAAGTCAGTTGAACTGGGGCACACCAATATCTAAATTACCTTTAATCACGCCGCAAGATTTCAAAAGAACAATTGAGTCATCGTCGAACAAAGATCGTATATACATTGTCATTCAGAACATCATCCATGATATAACCCCATTTATGGACCAGCACCCCGGTGGAGTTCAGTTGTTGAAAGCATCACATGGCAAAGATGCTACTAGGGCTTTTTATGGCGGAGTCTATAGTCATCTGACGGCAGCAATTAATCTATTGGCGACCATGAGAATTGGAATTTTAGATAACGGCAACGATGAAGAAGTTTGGACAAGAGTGGTTAGGGAGGAAGGTGAAGTGAGAGAAGTTTCAGAGTCACGGCGAGGAGGTGGTGATGGTAGTGGCTCAAGTGAGTATCGTACTGCAGAAGCTGCATAGTGTATATAGAAACTAAACTAATATTTATTTGGAAAGAGTCCATTGGTGTAGGGAATAAGAAGAGCCGAGAGATGTCAAACGGGGGAAAATTTGAAAAAATTTCCATTCACAATATTTCCCATTAAGCCACTGCTTGACTAACTTTACTCCCAGCTACGATATGTCAAACACGCCCCCGACAACGCCTGCAAACACCAATCTATTCACCACTCGGGACTACCGTGGTGCTACAATCGAAGACTTGAACATCCCACAAGCAATATCCACCAACCCCACTTCATCCATCTACGAAGCTATAGAAATTGGATACGAGTATGAGTTCACGTATTTGCCAGTAATACACGAGTTGAACAAGCGATTGTTGGGTGTTGTCAATCTAGAGCAGTTCAAAACGGGGTCACCACAACAGCCACAACAGCAAAAACAGCAAAAACAGGAGAATAGAGATCAGAATGTGCAGCCTATTGTATTCAATTACATGTTGTGGTTTAACCCATCGGCCAAACGCAAGTATGAGCAAGAGATCTTACACAAGAAAGATGATACTGGAAGTAAGAGTCAAGTAACCAAAACTACTCCAAAGACCAAGATTTTGAAACCCAGGGGTAAAAGATACAGTGTTTTAACTCCTTACAGTCCTTTGGAGGATTTGGCTTCCTTTTTCAACAGAGGAAACTACTTTGCCATCGTCACCAATGATCTGGGTAATTTTGTATACGGAGTAGTCACACCTCAAGATCTACTCAAGTATGAACAAAGTCGACCAAAGTTGTAGCCATTCATACATTGATATAGCTTAATTAAACGTATATATATATATATATATAAAGGATTCACTTAGGGCATATCGTGTAACCTCTTAGAATCTAGCAAGTCACTCTTGAGGAATCTTCAATGTCAATTTGCCATGAGTTTTCCTACCTTCCAAGTCTTGTGCTGCTTGCTTATAATCCTTCAAATCGTAAACTTTGTAGATATCGAACTTCAACTTACCCAGTTGATACAAATCCACCAACCATTTCGAGTAATGTTGCCATTCCTCCGGTGTGTAGATATACGCATTCAACAGCGGTCTCAAGAGCTTGACGTTCTTGGGAGACAACAACGCCAAGGGGAATGGTGTAACTGGACCAGAAGAGTTTCCATAACTGACAAAAGTCCCCTTTCTAGCCAACGAGTTCAAACTCGTGTAGAACGTGTCCTTACCCACAGAATCAAAAGACGCGGCAACACCTTTCCCATTGGTAATTTTGTCAACTTGGTTATCAATATCGTCACTATTTGCATCAATCAAGTACTCAGCTCCAAATGATTTAGCCAACTCCAACTTCTCTTTAGTTGACGCAACAGCAATCACATGTGCGCCCAATTGCGAAATCAATTGCACCAAAATCTTACCTACACCCCCAGCAGCGGCCCAAACGAGGACAAAATCGCCCTTTTCAACCTTGTACGCCTCATTAATAAACGTCAATGCAGTCAACCCTTGCAACAAGAGTGATCCGTAAACCTCCAAATCCTTGTCGGAGACCAGTGAGGGTAACTTGACATACTGGATGTGTGCATCTGTAATCTTGGTGTATTGGGCAAATGTACTTGGCGACAAGTAGGCAATCTTGTCGCCCACTTTCAAATTGGATACGCTCGAGCCCACGGCGACAACTTCTCCGCTGGCTTCTCTTCCAAACACATACGGCTTCGCTGGGAGTGGATACACGCCCTTTCTGAAGTATGCTTCGATAAAATTGATACCGGAGTAGGCATTCTTGACAATTATGTCCTTGTCGGATGCAATCGTGGGGGTGGGGAAGTCGGTGACGTATTGGATTTTATCGAAGTCACCAATATCGTTGATCAATATGACTTTTTGGGTCTTGGGAAGTGTATGTGACATTTCTTTTTGTTTGAACGTGGGGTGGCGGTGGTTGGCTTGTGGAGAGTCAATTGGATGGAAACAGAAGAAGGGTGACTTTTATATACATTTGCCATTGATTACTAAGGCTTACACATATGTATGCAGAGACAGGAGATACAGGAGACACAAAAACCAAACTGTGGCATTTGCACGCATATTAGGTGCCTAGGACGTAATAGGAGCCACCACACATCTGTAACGAGTGGCACTAATGCGCATTTGCCGGGCCCCCTATATGGATTCCAAAAGATGTGGATCGAAAGAGGGCGTGTTCGAAGTGAATTCATGATCTTACTTTTGCTCGCTCAAACTACGGCGTCTGGTACACTAATATCACCAAATGGTAGATTAGTTACAGCATTCAACATCATAAGTTTACCAAATAACAGAACTATATGCTTTGTACAAAGTGAAGGTATATGTATGTAGAAAGGGTCCAAGCAAAAACAAATATATACATATATATATATATGAAAGAAAAAACATGAAGAATCAAAAAAAAAAAGAAAAAGAACAAAGAACACAGGTAATATCCAATCCAACACTGATTCGAATGAAGAAACAAATGTAATCAAAGTTAAAATAAAACATAATAAGAACCACCAACCAATTTCTATAATTTTTTCCAAAACCAAAACTCTAGTCATCGCGGTGCATTTGGACTAGCTACTTTGGATAGGGATCTGTTTATTCTTTCTTCTCTCAATGATTGAGGCGCCTCCCAAGTTCAAATCGAACCCTCCTTTAGGCTTGACTGCACTTTGCTGTTGTTGATGACGACGATGGCTCGAGCGAGGTATCCTTGAAGAAGCATCACCGGCAGTAGTAGCTCCATTGTTGTTGCTATTGTAATGATGGCGCAAGACTCTTCCGCTTCTAGTCACATCCTCCTCATTTTCCTCTTCCTCCTCCTCAATCAAATCTTCAACGTCGCCAAATCCCATGCCGCCTTGTTTATTCGACAATGCAGCTTCTTCACCCATACGATGTACTGCGGTGGAGATATCAAATGCATCACGTAAAGCAACCGCTGCTGGTGAGTAAAGATCTTGGTTGAATGATTGTTGCAAGCGGGACTTTTTGGAGTATTTTCCAGTATTGGCGGTGCTGGAGGTGTTATGCGATTGAATAGGATGCGATTTCTTGATCCTGGCGGAAGAAGGAGCTTCAACTGGGATTGCTTGTGAAGATGCATCTCCTGCACCAGTTTGTTGCTTCATCCAAGGATCTTGCAACAATTCATCTATAGTATACCTTTTCCTCGGATCAACCGTCAACAAATTCGACACACAGTTTTTAGCCCCATCGCTTATTTCATCCCACCAAGGTTCCAAAAATGTAAATTGCCCCTTGGCCACTTTTTCAGTCAAGGTTTCAATGCGTTCATCATAAAAGGGCGGGAACCCACAAAGTAAGGTGTACAAGACACATCCCATGGCCCACATGTCAACTTCCTTAGAGTACCGTTCATCCCTAACAATTTCCGGCGCCGTGTATCCAACAGTACCACACGGCGTCTTGGTATTATGTTCCCAAATCTGTTTGGATAATCCAAAATCAGCCAACTTGACAACTCCAATGCCTCCACCACCCAACCCTGGTGTAAACTCACCTTCATCCTTCTTTGTGCTGGGGTTGTCACTCTTGCGCAACTTGGCAATGGGGTTGACACTGGGTACAACGTCAATAGGCTCAAACAACAAGTTTTCCGGCTTGATGTCACGATGCACTATTCCAACTTCTTCATGCAAGTAGCGGATGGCGTGTGCTACTTGGGTAATGATCCAACGCGATAAATCTTCAGATAAATAAGTGTATTTGACAATCATGGTGAAGATTTCACCGCCAGATGCCAACTCCTGGACAATGTAGTAATAGTCCGGGGAATCAATAAACTCGATAAATGAAACAATGTTGGGATGTTGTAATTGACGCATGATTGTGACTTCTTTCAACACTGCTTGTTTCTGTTGTTGGTCCATTTGGAACTTGCGTAAAATCTTGATGGCAACTTCTTTCCCAGTTGGTTTGTGAATGGCCTTATTGACGATGGAAAAGGCACCTTCTCCCATTTGCTCCAATACTTCGTAATTGTCCAAGTTTTTGTATGTCTTGAATTTGGATTTTTGTAAATTTTCCTCCTCAACCAACTGAGTAGCTACTTTGTCATAATCTTGATGGTCGTGGGTATTTTTCGGGTGCTGTTGCTGCTGTCTGTGATGATCAGCAGGGTCGTTCAAAGTAACATCAGACTGGTTACCGTCCGCACTATAAGTAGGAGTGGCATAAGCATTAGCGCCGTCTAAGCCATTCGCATTGGGCACTGCATGTTGATGATGCTGTTGATTTTGTTGTTCAAATTGTTGCTGGTATTGTTGGTATTGTATATCTGATGGACTATCGTTACTTCCATTGCTAGTATTGCTGATCCCGCTGATACCAGTTCCATCGATTATTTCGTACCCTGATCCAAAAGGGTTTTCCGAAGAGGTGTAAGGCGAGGAAGCGCCAGGCTTTCTCTTCATGTCATTAGCCTGCTTGCCGTGTCTAATAAATGCTTTCAAGTTTTCAAACATGGTTGTGGGATAGCTGCTGCGTACTTTATGTGTGGTGTGTTGAATATGTACGTATGTATATGATTTAGTCGTTGAATTTAAACTAGAGCATATATATATATATATATGGGTATTGTATGGATGATGTCTAACACTGTGTATCTGTAATGGAGGTGCACTCTATCAGTAGTAGTGTAATTTGTAATGATATAACGCTAGATAAGAAGAAGAACAAGAAGAAGAAGGAGGAAGTGGGTATGAATTTTTCTTTTTATTATTACTATTTTTTCTTTGATATTTCGATGAAGATTTTTGGGCGACAGTAGAGCAAAGTTTGTATATCTCCAATTTTCTAAAGAAAACGAAAATAAAATAAAAGTAGAAAATAAAAAAAAAAAAAAAAAAAAAAAAAAAAAAAAAATTTAATTACCAAAATCAAATTATA